TTTGAATTATAACAAAATAAGGAAATCGCTACATGAGAAATCGAGTGAATATCCAATGTTGTAAACATTTGAATTTCAAACGCTCATAATAATTTAATTTGACTTTCTTGTAGACATTTTTTTTTTGATAAAGGTAGATAATCTTATAAGGAATATTGTACTACATTTTAAAACTTTAGATTTAAAAAGCAAACATTTTTACGAAATCTTAACTCAAAATAATTTGCTAATTTTCGTGATTTTTCCATATTTTGTCAATTTTTGAACTTTAAATGCTTATAAAAAAAAACTGTGACTAAGGATTTTTAATATTTTTCAAATGCCATTGTAACAATATAGTAGGAGCCTTGTATTAAATTTTCAAGCTTTTTTAACCAACAAATAAAATTTTATTGATATTTTTAGAAAAAAAAACTAAATAAAATGGAAAATGAAAATGTGCCTAAACAGTTCAAAATAAATCAAAACATTTTGAAAATGTTATCGTGTATAGAAAATGCTAATATAAACATTCAGTCAAAATTTCATGTAACTGCGGTCATTTGTTTAAGAGTTGCACCAAAAACTAAAATCGATTTTTTCGAAAACAGATTTTAGTGTAAAAATTCCCGTTTTTCCTTAATTTTCATTTTGTTTTTCACGCCGCTTTTGAAAACTACTATGCAATTTTCACTTTCGACCCCTTAAAGTACCAACTAGATTCACTTTCCTATCAGAGAAGCTACTGTTGAAGAAAATCCAAGCACTTTTACTGTACTAAAACGTGATGACGGACACAAAAATAAAAAAAAAAAACACACATCATTGTAAAATCAATACATTCATCGTTTCACTCAAAATCTAAAATATAAACTTTAAATAGAGTGAAAAAAATGTATTAATATTAATAGCTTAAAAGATGGAAATAATCTATAAAAGTCTATATTTTTATAATCAAACAGTTCTATAACATATAATAATCAAATGATTGAAATAACTTTTTTAATTTACTGCAAAAAATATCAAAATAGTTTAACAAAAATAAATAAACACTAAAGTACAGCATTTTTTAGTTTTTAGCCTAAAAAGCCTAAAAGTCTAAAAATGGCATTCAGTCCACTAGCTGTGGGATGTGTTTTTTTTCTTTATGGCTGTCACTTTTTGGGGCAGTAATAATGCTTCGATTTTTTTACTTCTGCATTTTTTCTGGCAGGAAAGTTATCTAGTTAGTACTTTGGAGGGTCAAAAGTAAAAATTCCCAATAGTTTTCCAAATAAACCAAAAATTATAAAAAATCTGAGATTTTTACGCAAAACAAGTACAGACAAAAATCGATTTTGTTTTTGATTGTAACTCAACAAAATATAACCGTAGGTATTTTAAATGTTCACTGAATGTTTATGTTAGAAATTTCTATGGGCCATAAAATGAATAAGTAGGACAACAAACCGTGAATAAACAATAACCGTATTAGTGTATTACCAAAAGTCTAAATCGTATTTTACCGAAAATAATAATATGATTAATATGTCTATATTATATGTCTAAAATAGATCAAATTTGTTTTGATTGTAATTGCTTTGGCCTGCGGGTAGAAGATATAAAACAATTAACTAATAATGTCACGTCGTTGTCGGCTACACTAAAGTAGGTACATATTATTTTTATTATTATTATTATATCGCGCGTGGAGTGTAAGCAATTTATTGGTACCTACAATCCGACCTTCCGCACAGACGCTTTGTTGTGAAAATGTGAAATGTGGCCTATAATATCTATTTATATTTTATTATTTTATAATATCCACAATATTATAACTATATGTAGAGTTATAATTAATATTATTAATTGTCATTAATATCGATTGTACACGAGTGTCGAGTAGGTACACGACACTACGACAGACAATCAGTGTAGTACGTAGCGGCGAAGTCGTAGGCAGTCACGTAGAGGTGTAACTTAAACTAATCATATCTGTAAGATTCGATAATAAATTTATTCTCAAAATGCCAACACGGACAGTGCGTTTTCACTCCAATTTAAAATCACAATTTCCTTCGTCTTTTCATATTATTATATTTAGTTTGGTAACTGAAGTGTCCGGTATTTAGACTCCACGCCATTCTTATTAATCGAGCGAAGCGAATAGTAGGTATGCCACGCAATAACAAAAGCTTCATAATATACACGTAAACGTGTGAGTTGTAAATCATTATATCATAAGTGTTAAAGTACTATAGTTGTACATTTGAACCGTCATATAATTCGATAGTCGCAGACCTGTACCTATATTTTAAAGCGTTTTAGTGGATTAGTTTATCTCGAATATATTGTAGCTTTGATATACCTATAATATTGTGGCAGTGCACAGAGCACGGCCAATAATAATAATTTATTAATTTGTCGATAAGACTGCGGACGCACTGGGGCCATGAAAAAGGTAAAAATTAAAAACGTTCTCGGGATATCCCCATCTATAGGTACACAATATTACACACAAACACTTATCAGGTTTGCCGTGGTAGTCCTATGTGTATTACTTGAGTAGGTAACCGGGATTATTATTATTATTATTATATGCTCCCGGCCCGTACTATCATTATTCATTACCCATAATAAGCTGTGAATATAATAAAATTATCCACTACAAGTAACGTAGTAACGTACATTTCCTCAGCCCTACCCATTATTAATTTTCCAAACTTTTCTACTCCAATATTTAGCACGTGATTCGCATGAATTTGGACGACCGTTTCCGAAATTTGTACGGCAACGGTTCGCCCTTAAAATTCAATTTTCCATGGACGGGGCGTGGGAAACTTTTCTCCAACCCCACCCAAGTGGAAAATAACAATATTAGCCTTTTTCATGTATTTGACTGACTGTTACCAAATGTATAATATATTATATAATAATAATAATATATTAATCATTTTCATTTACATATCATAAACATTTTGATGAGTACAATAAACTTAACAGACCGCATATAGGTACTTATATAATATATCACTAATTTTAACAATACCTAGGTAAATGGTAATATCAAACATACCTAACTCATAAGAACAGTTATTATAATATAATATAATATAACAAAAATGTTATTGATATTTAATAATTAAAATAATAATAATTTTGACAAAAATAACAGGTACATTTCAGCATTCACTTTAAATGAGGTGTATTTAATTATACTTGGTCTTTTGTATCATCATAAGACTCCCACTGCTGATTGGACTTTAATCAATATGCAACATAATGCCCAGTCGTCTGTCTTAGATCGCCTCTTTCTGGACCATAAAATGCAATTACACCATACAAATTGTAATTAACATAATGTATCATGATTTGATTATTGGAATCAAGTTTCCATGACATTTTCCCTGCATAATTCTGTTTTATATTACTAGTTGGCTGTGTGTTGTTGAAACTACTTGAAGATCTAAGACCTAAAAAATTATGTCATAAAAAACAAAATGTTACCTACCTAAATGAAATCATAATTTTTTTAATTATCAACTCTACCCTAACAAGTCCTAATATTTAATATTAATAGCCTATAGGTACCAATGTACAATTTATCTAAACATTTCCTAACATCTATATTATAGTTATTATTATTATGTCACAAATAATATTCACCTCGAGGTATTGACAATAGTTCTATAATAATATGCTCATTTGGTTTCATAAATACTTAACTATAACTACAATCACTTCTTTTCATTAATTCTGCTTGGAATGAGTGATGTAAACTATTGCTTCAGAATAATGGATTGGGGATCATATGGAAAAGAGAGTGACTGTAATATTTTATGTAAACAGTCATGGTTTGGAAAAAATAAGTGTTGGAAAAATGAACTTTCCCCTCATGCTTCTTTTCCTGGGATGGAGATGGTTTACCTTAACCATTTATTTTAGTTGGTTATGACTGATGAGGCATTTGCCTCATATAAACATTTGTTCTGGCCATATCCAGAAAAAAGCTTGACCGATGAGAGGAGGAATTTTTATTACTGGCTGTTCAGAGCTAGAAGGTAGGTACATTGAATGTATATTTGGAATCCTTTCAAATAAATGGAGAGTGTTTCATACAACAATTTTGGCTTTCCCAGATTTTGATATTTAGATTACTAAAGCAGTAGGTATGTATTTGTACATGTACATACATATGTATTACATGACTTTGTTCAGTAATTGAATGAAAAACAAGATTTTGAAAATTGCAACATTAAAGGAATGGGAGAGAGGAGAGGCGTTGGAAATCCTAGTTTAAATGCTAAAGATGTTTGATAATATTTTATTAAATATGTTAATATCGTCCACAAAATGCACTAAGCTGGCAAAATAGCTGGTCATTCTTTAGTTCAAACTATTAATATCACTATTAGTAGAGTTGACAGAAATTATAAATACAGACAGACTTATAAATGTACAAATATAAATAACAAAATATTATTTCCTTATACTTTAATACTTTTTGTTTTTTCATCCAGCATTCAAACTCATTAAACTGGTCAAGATAGGCTATGGCCATTATTTACACCAGCTAACGTGTAACTGTGTAAGCTGTCTTTGTTGTGGTGCTGTGGTGTTTCTTTAATTTATAATGAAACTTTTAAATCATAGATACATTGTATACATGATACACACTACCTATTAGATATGTGCCTACTCTTAAACTATATAGTTAACTAATTAGGTAAATAATTAATTAATTAATTATTATATTTCGGTTATTATATTACATACTTACCTGCACAATCATGCAACCACTATTTTCATTAAATGTACAAAAACATTTCACAACCTCTACACATTATAATGTTATTATACATCTTAAAAGTAAAAGTAGCTATTGAGTTTTTTTGTTCGGTTAGGCGAAGTGAAGATGGTCGCTTTGTACTGCGTTTACCAACCAAGCCAGAGACCCAAAACTTAGGTGACAGTTCAGCGATGGCAACCTCAAAGTTCATTAATATTGAAAGAAGACGAGTCGAGTCGAGTATGTAAAATTCATGAAGGAGTACTTTGATATGGGACATATGCGAGAAGTGACGACCGAAGAAGAATTGTTTAAAAAGGGATACTATTTACCACATCATCCGGTGCTGAAGTCTTTGAGTCTTACAACCAAGACACGAGTAGTTTTCTATGGTTCAGCAAGAACTACATCCGGATTGGCACTAAATGATGTACTCATGCGTGGGCCTACTGTCCAAGAGGATATTTTCTCAATTCTAGTTAGGTTTCGGAAACATCAGTACGTAATCACGACTGATATCGAAAAAATGTTTCGGCAGATAATGATATCGCCAGAGGATTGTCACTTACAAAGAATACTTTGGCGTGCAAATCCAAGTGAAATGCTCCGAACCTACAATCTGTTGACAATTACATATGGTACGACACCCGCATCCTTTATGGCCACGCAATGCTTAGTTACGCTCGCTGAAGAAATAGAAAAGGAGAATCCAAAGGTGGCAGAAGTAATAAGTAGAGACTTCTATATGGATGATCTTATGACAGGTTGTGATACGGTAGAAGAATGTATGCAGTTACAAAAGCATATAACCGTCATTTTGGAATCCGCAAAGCTACCGTTAAGAAAGTGGTGTTCGAATTCGCATTTAATCATTGACAACATAAGTGAGAACGATAAGGATCCTCTTTTCGTTTTAAATTTAGGTGACGAGGATACTGTGAAGTCATTAGGTCTATGCTGGCAACCATCACTTGATCAGTTTAAGTTTAATATTGCGATTCCGTTAGATAGAGTAACGTTGACTAAGAGAAAGTTGCTATCAGAGCTAAATAGGGTGTTTGATCCATTAGGATTCTTGGGTCCAGTGCTCATCAAAGGAAAGATTTTTCTTCAACATCTCTGGCAGAAAAAAATTGATTGGGATGCACCACTACAAGCAGATATCCAAGAAAAGTGGAGAAAGTACTACTCTGGACTGGAGTTACTTAAGGAGCTTTGTATTCATCGTAAGTGCAAGTTCCAATCTGGTGACCAATTGGAAGTGCATGGTTTTTGTGATGCGTCAATAGAAGCGTACGGAGCTTGCATATACATACGGAGTTTAGATCATCAAGGCACATGGCAATCACGGTTGCTTTGTTCAAAAACCAGAGTAGCGCCACTCAAGTCAACTACAATTCCAAGACTAGAGCTAAGCGGAGCACTTCTCTTAGCTCAGTTAGCAGCTAAGGTAGCAGACTCTTGGAGCATAAAGTGTGAAGCTATTCATTTGTGGACGGATTCAATGATAGTTTTGGGGTGGCTCAACAGCCATTCATCACGATTAAAGACGTTCGTAGCTAACCGTGTTAGTCAAACTCTAGAGCTAACAAGAGCTAAACAGTGGCATTATATACCAACAAATGAAAATCCAGCCGACGTCCTTTCTAGAGGAACAACAGCGCAAGAGTTGCAACAAGCAAATGGTTGGTGGTTGGGGCCACATTGGCTATCAAAAGATACATTATCGTGGAGCAAGGAAGATGATCTTGAACAGATACCAGAAGAAGCACTACCAGAGCTTAGAACCATGCAATTGAGTCTGGTTGTAGTACAGCATAGAAATGCATTGCTAGATAAGCATTCAGAATGGGAGAAGTTAACTCGCGCAACAGCTTGGATTTTGAAATTTATTGAGTTCTTAAGACTTAAGAAATGTATGATAAAGAGTCTTAAGTATCTAACAGCATCAGATCTCAAAAAGGCAGAACGATGGTTGATAAGATGTGCTCAGAAGGATGAATTTGAAGCGGAATTTAAAGCGCTAAGTATTGGCAAGGAACTGCCAAAAAACAGTAAGATACGAGGACTATCCCCATTTATCAGTACAGACAATATACTTGTGGTTGGAGGAAGACTACATCATTCAACACTTTCAAATGAACAAAAACACCCCATAGTTTTACCATTTGGTCATAAGGTCACGCGGCTAATTTTTATATACTATCATGAAGTACTGTTACATGGAGGCCCCCAGTTGTTGTTATCAGAAGTCAGACTTCGGTTTTGGCCTGTAAAGGGTAGAATAATAGCTCGTTCTACAACATCACGTTGCGTTACCTGTATTCGAGCCAAGCCTAAATTTAAAAATCCGATCATGGCTACCTTGCCAAGTACTAGAGTACGGCCTGCCAGACCATTTGCGACAACAGGTGTTGATTTTGCGGGGCCCTTAGATGTTCGAAGTGGTATACGCCGTGTCACAAGCATAAAGACATGGATTGCAGTTTTTGTGTGTCTAGCTACTAGAGCTATACATTTGGAGCCAGTGGTTGGGCTTACGAGCAATGCCTTTTTTGCCGCACTGCGACGGTTTATGGCACGCAGAGGAAAATGTTCAAAAATGTATAGTGACAACGCTACAAATTTCGTGGGTGTTCAACGAGAATTAGCAACCTATCTGCAAAGTGTAGATGCAAGTGTAGCCAAGGAAGGAATAGATTGGCATTTTAACCCTCCAGGCGCCCCACATTTTGGTGGAATATGGGAGAGTGCCGTGAAAAGTGCAAAGCACCATCTGACTAGAGTACTTAAGGATGCTAAGCTCACGTTAGAAGAGCTAGGTACTTTACTTTGTCAAATTGAGGCATGTTTAAACTCTCGTCCATTGACCCCGTTAAGTTCTCATCCACTAGACCTAGAGCCCATAACACCAGCGCATTTTTTAATTGGGGGACCATTGCTCCTGGTCCCAGAAGCTGATTTATCCAATGAAAATATCAGCACATTACGAAAATGGAGATATGTGCAGGCCTTGATGCAGACGTTCTGGAAAAGGTGGTCAAAAGAATATTTACCACAGCTTCAAGTTCGAAGCCGTTGGTTAGCTCAAACTGAGCAAGTAAAAATTGGAGATATTGTTATCATCAAAGAAGAATGTACGCCGCCAGGAAAATGGAAATTAGGAAAGATCCTAAAAACTCATCCGGGAAGTGATGGTATTGTACGAGTAGTTACATTGAAAACATCAAATGGTAATGAACTCAAACGACCAGTCGTCAAATTATCCCGTTTACCGGTAGAAGAGGAAGATCAGAACTTTAAAAATCATAATTTTCAAAGGGGGGATAATGTTTGCGCCGCCGCCGATGCTCGCGCGATTTAGATGGTCGGTCGTGGGGCTTCACAAGCTGACGACACATCGGCCGAACGACCACACACACACACACACAACACAGACACGCAGTGTCATATTCTTTATTTTTGTATTTGTATTATCTGTTACGTAATAATTTAATATAATATGTAGATTACGTACGCACCATAATCTGCATAGCCGCCGTAGTTTTTCTGTCTTCCTCCGTCCGTCGTCGTGAGCAAACACCGCCGCGGATATTATTTTTTGTAAAAGGCATGAATTGTCAAAATTTATTATATATTGTGCGGGCGCGAATCGCCACTTTTGTATTTATTGTAAGGCGCAAATCGCCAAACATTATTGTTGTGCGTGGCGCTAATCGCCATTTATATTATTACTATAGAATTGGATGTGCATTGTTATTATGATACTATAGGATAGGTAGCAGCTGGCCAGCGGTGCTCCGTCATAATATACTGTGAGTTATTTTATATTTAAATTTTATTAATTGTTATCATATTATTATACTATTTGGCCATATTTACATAATTACTGGCGGCTCAAATATATTGTCAAAAATATTATTACATTGTTTTTGCCTATTGGCTATAGTATTGTTTATTGTGTATTATTTGAAACATATTATTATAGCATATTAATAACATTAAATTTGTGTTGACATTATTTGCATATTTAAACACATACACTTACACACCCACCCATATACACACCTTACACATTACCACACCACATAGCTCGCTAGTATTTGCGCGGCGAACCCAACCAATTCTAGCTGAGCTATAACTCATATACACACAAATATACAGGTCGGTCGGTGTGTGGCATTGGTACAGCGCACGAAGCATTTTAGCGACCGGGCACACGGCCTATAATTGTTGTATATGAGTTATAGCTCAGCTAGAATTGGTTGGGTTCGCCGCGCAAATACTAGCGAGCCATGTGGTGTGGTAATGTGTAAGGTGTGTATATGGGTGGGTGTGTAAGTGTATGTGTTTAAATATGCAAATAATGTCAACACAAATTTAATGTTATTAATATGCTATAATAATATGTTTCAAATAATACACAATAAACAATACTATAGCCAATAGGCAAAAACAATGTAATAATATTTTTGACAATATATTTGAGCCGCCAGTAATTATGTAAATATGGCCAAATAGTATAATAATATGATAACAATTAATAAAATTTAAATATAAAATAACTCACAGTATATTATGCCGTGCACCGCCCAAATTGTGAGTTTTTATTTTTTATTATTTATTATTATACTCTGTTGGGCCAGAAGGGCCACATATTATTTTTAGATCATTTTTACCTTGCGGTTGCTGTGAATTATATTTTATTTTGTGTATTATTTAAAATTTGTATTATACAGCAACTAGTTAGTTACCAGCAACCAATTGTTACCATTTTTTTCTTGAGTTACCCTTGTCATTAATTATTGTTAAGTCTACACCCACACCTACATACACACCTACACACCCCACCTACATTCCAGCACTCACAGGTTTTGCTCGGCGAACCTGTCCAATTCCTGTTGAGTGCTAAAACACATATACACACATAACACACTGGTCGGTCGGTGAGTAGTGGTGTAACGGCGCACGAAGTATTTTGGTACCGAGCGCACGGGCTAATTATTGTTCATACTCGGTCGCAACAATAATAGATATATATAGTAGTCAGTATTGTAAAAAATACTTTTGAAAAAGTATTGAGATACTAATACTAGTATTCAAATATAAAAGTACTAAAAATACTATTATAAAAATGTATTTTACGAATACTCATAAAGTATTTGAATATAAATACAAGATTTTTTTTTTAATTTTATGCTACCTATATAGGGCCGGATTTAGGGGGGTGGTCCTCCACAAATTGAGGGCCTAAACTAAATGTGTTTTTTTTGCATCCAAGTATAAAACACAATATTCCAGTGGCAGCTATCAAACAAAATATAGGTGAATCAAATTTTAAATTTAACTACCCACCTGCTAACCCACTAACACACCTACAAATACAAGAAAAAAAAGCGGGTAAGTGGGTGTCACTCTGCTGTTCAGTGGGCAGTTACTGTTTACAAGTGGGTCACTGTAATAGATGGTGTTAAATTTGAATTATAGAATATAAAATTATTGAATAGGTACCTACAAAAAACGATTCTGAGCGAAGACAGTCAGTCAGCCTATGATATATTACTAAGTAGGTATATTTGATGATACCTAATATTCTTTTGAATAAAGTAATTTTTTCACTATTAGGCATTAGTACAACAGTATCTAGGTTAAGTTGGTATTCTGTAAAAATCTCAATTTTCCTTAATTTCTTGTCTGTTTTTCCTAACTATTTCTGATTACTTTTGATCCCCCCAAGTACAGTACTAGATTCACTTTCCAATCAAATTTTTACAACATTGGATATTCACTCGATTTCTCATGTAGCAATTTCCTTATTTGTTGTAATTCAAAAACGAATAACTGTAGGTACATGAAAATTTCACTGAATGTTTAAATTAGCATTTCCTATACACCATACAAATTTGAAAATATTTTGACTCTTTTTGAGCTATTTACGGACATTTACCGCTTTCAATTTTTTTTATTATTTTTTCTATAAATATCAATTAAGTTTTATCTGTTTCGCCAAAGAGTGTAAAAATTTAATACAAGGCTCCTGATATATTGTTACAATATCAGTTGAAAAATATTAAAAATACATAGGCACAGTTTTTTTTTATAAGCATTTAAAGATCGAATTTTGACAAAATTTATCAAAATCTCGAAAATGATCAATCATTGTAATTAATAAATTATAAAATGTTCAGTTTTTATAGCTAAGGATTGCAAATTTAACACAAAGGTTCTTATAAATAGTTCATACTGTAACCAAAAAATCAAAAAAATATATGAACACAGTTATTTTTTACAGACATTTTAAATTAAAATTTGGACGAAATTACATATTAAAATACCTAGAATAACTATTTTAGTTTTTTTGTTGTGATTGAAGAATATTATTCGTGGGTACTTGAAACTTCTAAAGTGTACTATTATATATCTATGATAGTATCACGGTTTTTGTTGATGTATAACGCGTTATAAGTACCTAATGGATATTGTGATATGATTAATTTGGAATTTATTATAGGCACCTATTGTAGGTCAAATTTTGGTTTAGTACCATAAATATGTATATAATATGTCTTATACCTAGACTGACATACCGTCTCCGCTCAGAATCGTTTTTCTTATACAATGATATTATTTATTTATTATTTATTTATTTATATCGTTGAATTCAAATTTAATATCATCCATTATTCAGTGACCCACTTGTACCCTACTGTACAGCAGAGCGATACCAACTTGCCCACCTTTTTAATTATACTATTACTATTTTATGTATAATTAATTATTAAAGTATTATTTATAATAAATGTTTGATGACTTCCTATAACAAAAAATAAAAATTAGCATATAGAAAATTATATATAGTTTGTGGGGGGGGGGGGGGGTGGAAGTGGGTGGGTCATTACAATATTAATTTGCTTAGGGTTTGAAAGATGTTCGCCACGCCACTGGATTCACATGACCATACATGGTCATCCTGCGGTTAGGCCTATTGTGGGATTTGTCACCCGGTCGTCGTTGCACGCGCCGGATGTCATCAGATAACATCTTGTCATTTAGTATAACAGCACAAATCCTAATACACAGTATTTTAGAATTATTTATATAAGTAGTCATACATCTATTGCCGCGTGCCGTTCATTGTTATGCGTTCGATATTATTATCTTCCCGCTGTATATATGATGTCGTCGCTCCACTACACACGTACTGTATACATGGTACCAGCGATATTATTATTATTATTACTATTATTGACGTTTACGCGAGCTTACTATTATATTATATTTACGCGGCGCGTCTATTATATGATTACGTACATAATATTAGAATGAGATTTATATTGTTAAATAGTCACAGCTCGCTACACCTCACCGCCCTTCCAAAGGATTTTGTAGGGCTACAAAAAGCTTTAAAATTGTATATAGATAAAAGTTTACAATTGGTTTACATAAATTACATAATTCATAAGTTTACAGATACAATATATAAATAATTAATCATTGCCTTATCATGACAATTTACATGATAATGTTTAGTTACATTTTTTTTTTACTAAATTACTCGACTAGAGTATTACACTTGAATAGATTGATACAATAATGCTACATACATATGTTATAAAATTTAAATACAATAAAAATATTCGTTAGTCATTTGATTAAGTTAATTTGATTAAAATACAATAGTTTTCAATACAATATTTGATATAATAATTAATTTATGTTAGTTTACATATATATATATAGTCATTGATTACAATAAAATGATGGTTAATAGTAATTTTTGATTAATAACAATTATAATAGTACTTAATAATTAAAATCTCCAATGGTATATTGACCTGTATATATTATTTTGTTTATACTACCTATCGTAAAACAGTATATCTGTTGCTTGGGGTATAATTTCGATGTACCTAGCCAAATCCATACATATTGGATTTGTTAGATCCCTTTCCAAAACCATATCAGTTACAAACCTCTTTACGCATTTTATTATTTCCAAAACCTCTCTGCTTTCGTATGGTACAAGTATTGAATTATTAGCAGAAATTATATGATAATCAAAACATTCTGTAAAATTATACCATTCTCCTTGTTCTGAATTCGTGTGTGTCTGGATTGCTAAACTCATGTTAAGTTCTTGCAATAATTGTAAAATATTTTGAAATAAACTTTTAATATACCTTTAGGCTTCTATTATTTAATAATATTTACTATAATAATTAAGACGATTTATTATAAGTAGGCTGTATGACTGTATGAGTTTGAAAAATATTTTGTATTTTTATAATATATACCTAATAGATTACCTATTATTATTGCTAATAACTGTTACCACGCGCTATCGTATTTTTGAAACTTTTATAA